AAGCATATAAAAAAGTCTGGTTGGCCAAGAATAGAAAAGTTCCGATAGAAACAATATTAGAATTCATATTTCATTTTTCACTTATTCACTTATCTTACTCGTTTTAAAGCTTTTGAATTAAAATTAAAATATTAACTTAATGCTTTTGCATTAGTGTTAATTTTGTATTAAGAAAATGCTAGTACCTATCATGATCGTGTAGTTCGTTTATAGAACTGTCAATGTAGTTTTACCACTAGCTTCTCTATAGTTGAGTTTGCTTTGTAGCATTTCTATCGAGAGAAAATGTCATGTATGCACCAGGATGACATACATGTACATTTATAGTTCTTCAGAAAGCATAAATAACTTTATCAAATATCGATATTGTAAAAGAAAAACTCAATCTAAGGATCATTTTGCGAGAATCAATTGTATATCACTTGACTTTCATATGTTAGATGTCAAAATGACTGAATATTTTTCAATGAAACATGCAAAATCTTTTTTTTCTTTATCATGATTATTATTCTGTAACGTTTACTTAGTATGCGGTACTCCTAAACGTTTCCACAGTTATAGAGCACAAAACATTCATTTCAGTAGGATCACTTCATCATGCATAGTACTTTTTTTTGCAAAAAAATTCAGCTACAAAGGAGAAACAAATCAAGTCACCTTTCGTTCATTGGTACACAACGTACATTGGTATCTTCCATCAACTTGTTTTTCAAACAGTTAATACACTTCATGGGACAGTGTTTTGCCTGGTGCAGTTGTTGTTGTTTGTGATGGAATTTTATCAACATTAATTGGATACTTTGTTGAATTGATATTTTTCTTGATGATGGAATTGTTAACTTTTTTTAATCGATCGATTTTTTCTAAAATCAATATAAAAACATCCCAGGATACAGACAATATATTCTTAGTTAAGATGTGAGGACTACTCAGATCATCATTTTTTTATAGAAAAGGTGAAAGAAAGAAATTATGAGCATTAATAAAAGTCTTGAGACCTTGTTTATTTTCATCCAAATCATGAAGTTCAGTACACTCGATAAATCATGAAGGATATTGTCATCAGACTTACCCTACTAAACACAAGAAATTTTTATTCCTGAAACTAGAAACAGAAGTATTGTTGAAATTTCTTCCATATACCAATGTAAACAAGTTAAGATACAAGGTCAGACGAAAACCAATTAGAAAATGATTGAAAATCGATTCTAATGATAGGCTTGTCAACAGTTTTCTATCGCTTTTTTAATCGATTTCAATCAAATTTAACCGAAAAACATCAAAATTCTATTGATTATTAAGATTAATTTTGATTATAATCGATAGAATCTTAATAGAATGATTGAATTTAAGTGATTTTTTTATCAAGAGAATTCGAAATAATCTGAAACAGATGTACATGGATTTTTATCACTGATAATCAAATTTTTAGTTTCAATCGATAATAATCGAAATTAATCTTAATAATCAATAGAATTTTGCTTTTTCCGATTAAATTTGATTGAAATCAATTAAAAAAATGATAAAAAGATGATCATAAGCATATGATTAGAATCGATTTTTAATCATTTTAAAATCAATTTTAATGTGATTCCTACTCTATTTGTTTCACATGGGTAAGTTACAACAGCAAGAATAAAAAAAACGCATGTTCTCATCCAGGCAAAACTCATATGATGCATTATATGAGTTTCCAGGAAACTCATTTATTTTTCGAACACTAGATCAATTTCCGAAGCATGTGCAGTTTCCTTAGAATGTTCCATGGACATAATAGCGGTAATGGACGTAATGACCGTAATGGACATGATCATCAAATGTCTTTCATGCCTTAGAAAAATAACTAAACCTGTCTCTGAGCAATAGAGGAGATATAAAAGATTCTGAAAATATAAGAGGTATAAGCTGTATTGGATAGGCGGAATTTGTTCGGTATACAGTAATCTGACGGAAGAGCTCCGAAATGCTTCCGTTGCGGCAAAAAGAAAATCGTCTCTAACTTAGGCTCCATTCAGTCGATTTGGAAGCTTTGATTTCTTGAATTCAATACCAATAATTGTCCATTCACTTCGAAATAAATTCAGCTCCTATATGTATTCATTCCCCGGATCTCGAGTCAAACCTGTATAATATCTGCGTTCCGACATAGCCTATCCACTGAAAACAACTTTTTCTACTAATCCTCCCATTTTTACAGTGTTTTTACTGCTAGAAATGTACGACACGGCCTAAGCTTTCGAAATATCACATTACTCTTATCTTTGCAAAAACTATTATGAATCAAAAAGGTTTTCGATATTGAGCGGGAACTAACTTCTCATCTTTCCGCAGACAAGCGCTGCAATTACTTCCATTCCACTAAAATACAATATGCCTCACAAATTTCTTTGGACGTCCAAGAGAGCTGATGCAAATGCGTTATACCGGTAAAAGTGATTTCTGTTGCACACATCAAAGGAAAATTTTCAATTTCTTTCGAGAGCAAGAACACCAATACAAAAATTATCCTCATCAGTCAGCTATTCAAATCTCTGGACGGCAATCTGTGAATAATATCATTCATCGATAGCATTTCTACCGCAACAAAACAAGCAAAACTAACCTAGGCACACACAAGCGCGCAAGTGGCAACACATGTAGATAGCACATACAAAGAACCCGTATCATTCTTGATTTGTGAATCATGCAATCTATTAAAATACAGAAAACTTTATCTCAGTGGCTAGTCACTCGTCAAAAATAATTTAACGAGGTATGCCAAGTGCACAAGATCACGCAGCCTTCGACATGTCCCCAGTATTAAAGATGCTCAAAGTTTAGAGACCGACATACACCACATCCCACTCAATGAGTGTTCAAGAAAGGACTTTTACCAACAACGACACTCACCGCGTCGCACTGGATGAGGGTGCCACGAAAGGAGTTCCATCCAAAATGTGTGATATGACACTTTCTGCTCTCCATTGCTTGTAATTCCTTCGTTTGCCATGCGAAAAGATAGTGTTTTCTTCTGCCACCTGCATTAGAAGATTAGGGCAGTTTATTTAGAGCCCAGCATGATTCTATTGAGTTTCCTAAGGTATAATTCGAGCCGCATGTCATTTCATTTGGATTTTTGGGAAACCCAGACGAGCCTGCAGTGGCCCATCATGTCTATTATATCTATTACGGTCATCACGGTCATTACAGCCAATACAACCAATATGTCCATTATGGCCAATAAAAATTTGTTACACATATACTTGGAGTAAAATCAGTTTCCCGGAAACTAATACCACGCATCGAATCAAAATAATTTCCTAGATACACAAAATGAAATATTTATTTTCTATAGCGAATTTACTTATGTGTAGATGATTCTTGTCTTCGGCGTACAACTCTTGATGATGATGGAGATCGACTAGGCGATGTATGATGCAGGATACGATTTGTAGTTGACGATCGTAATAATCGAGTTCGTAAACTCATACAACGAGTTGGAGAATGTGATGGTAAAGCATCCAAGCTGGAGTGAAAATGATGAGTTGCACCAGATATAAAAACAGCAAAGCAAGAAAACGAGTTGAAGTTGTTATATGAGTAATTATAACTTTGAACTAAGGCACTTATTTAACACCAGCGTCGTTCTTCACAACAGACAAACTAAGCAAGTGACACTATTAAAAGGAAACAACAATAACAAGGCGTAATACTATTAGCCATGGTCTGGTTTTATTTATAATAAGTTGTCCAACAAGTGACGCATAGTCTTTTCTTTCGTCTTCTTTCGCCTTTTCTTGCTCCATCAAAAGTGCATAGACGAATATCAAACAGAGAATATGCATAATATTCTTTTTTCTTCTCCATTTTATTAAATTTAATCTGATGAACTAAGTAGAAATTCAGTACACAATGGCTTTTTTAGATAACTTCATACCCAGAGGTGCAATCAATTGATATTCAACAGATTTACCATGTTTTCATTTTTATTGATAATCAAATTTAGAGGGCGAAATTCAGATAATTACATTTTATTGGAGTGACACATATGAAGTGATCCTATTGAATATTTTATGCTCTATAACTGTGAAAACGTTTAGGAGTACCGCATACTAAGTAAACGTTACCGAATAATAATCATGATAAAGAAAAAGAAGATTTTGCATGTTTCATTGAAAAATATTCAGTCATTTTGACATCTAACATATGAAAGCCAAGTGATATACAATTGATTCTCGCAAAATGATCCTTAGATTGAGTTTTTCTTTTACAATATCGATATTTGATAAAGTTATTTATGCTTTCTGAAGAACTATAAATGTACATGTATGTCATCCTGGTGCATACATGACATTTTCTCTCGATAGAAATGCTACAAAGCAAACTAAACTATAGAGAAGCTAGTGGTAAAACTACATTGACAGTTCTATAAACGAACTACACGATCATGATAGGTATTAGCATTTTCTTAATACAAAATTAACACTAATGCCAAAGTATTAGGTGAATTATTTAATTTTAATACAAAAGCGTTAGCGTTTTCTTAACACTAATGCTAAGCCGACACCCCTATGCATGAAAGATGTGCGTGTTGATAAGACTTTCATAATGGTTGTCGATAGCGAGCGATGAGTAAAACCATAAAAATATGTCACTTCGTACTTTATCGCAAAGCGAGGTATGTGTCTTTCGAACATTCTCTTTAGAATGATTCTTGCGTATAAAATTGCGTGTTAACGTCGAACTGAATTTAAATGAAAAATATTTGTCTACCTTTGTTCTTTATGAAGGATCCTTCTTCGCAAGCTGTTTTTTAATATTTCAGAATGTGGAGTGTAGGTCAATGCTTCAACTAAACCTATAGGTATGCACCCAAATGCACACCCACCAAGAACCAAATTCAACTCTATATTATTGTGACATTCGTCTAACTTAGAAATATTCAGTTGCATTTTATATTCTATTCTCTTTGTAGATTAAATTACAGCTCTACTATTTCTTCATTCTATTAACGTAGCTTCATGAAGGGTATGCGACGGATACAAAATCTAACATTTGAAAATGAACAATTGAAGTCCTATCAATTTCATTTTAATATTGACGAAGCAAATGAAATGGATGATGAAACTACGACTGATGTTGAAGTGACACCATTAAATGATGATTCACAGCAACAGAACTTAACTCCGGATCAATTACAACACTTATTCAGTCAAGCTAGTTGTGAACTGGTTGCAGAATTGGCAGATGAGCAAGAGTTTTTTAAACGTGAAGCAACAATGAAAGCACCAAAAACAAGTAAAGTAATACAAACTCCATTTCCTCTTCCTCTACCAGACCGCACAGAAAATTTCGACATTGATATTGAACCATTGAAACATCTAGCTAAACAAGAAGCAGGTCCACTAATCATTGAAAGATATTCTCCTAGTGAAACGCAAATTGATTATGTATTATCAACTATTACATTGACATTTAATCAACCAATGATTGCTGTTTCATCATTAGATGATAAAATGAATACAGAAGATCTTGGCATATCATTAACACCAACAATAGAAGGTTGATGGAGATGGATAGGAACAAAAACACTTCAATTTAAAGCAAAACATCGTTTACCATATTCAACAAATTATACACTAAGAGTCGACAAAGAACATTGTGTATCAACAATTGGAGGTAAACTAATCTGAAACTATAAAAGTTAATAAACACATCTATAAGAAAAAATCTTTTGATTTTGAAATGAATACAGTCGAAAGTGAAAGAAAGCCTGGCCTACAAAATGAGTCTGTTCCGAGCAGTCTACGTCCTTCTTCTAAAAGGTTATACTTTTTTTAAAAATTGTCATTTAAAAGCTAAAAAAAGCTCAAATTTTTAGTTTCATAAACTTCTCTTTCGCATAGTCTGATAGAAGAAAGTCTTTTCTTCAATACGAGAAGTCTCACAGAATTTTCCGATGAACTTTCGCGCAGATATAAACATGGCGACGAAAACAACCTACGTACAACCATCAGTTTTGTTTTTCTGTATGCATGTTTTCAATAGCTCATTCAACCAAGTCACATTACAAGCCGACAAAACAATGATACCAATCAAGCTGAAATCTGTACTGCAGATACTTCAGATTCTATCTCAAGCTATAGTATTTTTTAAGCGTTTTTGACTTCAACCTTCGGCTTTTAAAGAATTTTATAATAAAAGAAAATCGATTTTTCACAGTAGATTTGTAGCACTTTTTAAATATCTCGCGAAGAAAGGCATCTTTTTCGAAAAAAAAGTGAGAATCTGAGATAGAGCCTCAAGTATCTGTGGCAATAATTTTAGCTCGAGGTTGTGGGTGTAAGTAGGTATGTATGTTGATAGTAGAAAAGACACTCACATCCACACCCCAATGTCAGCAAAAGGAGTTTTCTATGACTATAGAAAGATGTGTTTGGCTTGGGAGCCGGACTGGTGCTCCCCAGACAGTTGCTCCCCGGACAGTTGCTCCCCGGACAGTTGCTCTCCGGACACTTGCTCCCCAAGGACACTTGCTCCCCAAGGACACTTGCTCCCCAGACACTTGCTCTCCAATTATACTATACAGAACAAAAAGTAGAAAAATACTGTAGATTATCAACAGAACCACCATCAAAATAAAATATAATAAAGTGACAATGNTGCATTCTTTTCTATATTTTTCAAAAATGATCAGTTTTAAAAGAATTTCGTCTGATACATTATCAGAGAAAAAGACGCCCTAACTCCTCCTCTTTCGATTGGTGAAAGCTACAGGTCTCTAACTGTTTGCGTTCTCGAGTTATTCAAAAAACAGTCACACGCACGGACTTTTTGGACGGGCTATACCTACCATTCTATGTGGTTGTTCATAATCAATAGATAGCTAACCCTAAAGCATTGGTTTAGAAGTCATTGGCATTGTAGATAAGAATGAAACTCATCGACTATTCACGTTAAAAGAGTTTAAGGGGAGAATCCACATCCCTATATTTATACGCAAAAGTTGCCATTTTACAAAGAACACTGAGCTGCATACACTCTGAAATTGTTTTGGCGAGCGGACAAGTGTTTTATTTAAAATTTTAACTAAAAGTTCAAGTGCTGAACCTCTTTGTTAAAACTGTAAAATACACCCAACGACGATTATAGACATTTCATTATTGCATAGTTTGATAGACAATCAAAATCTGTAGTTATAGTTCCATGCAAAACAGTTATAAGTTTCATTTTGAAATGTTATCTAATAAGTAGTTAAAATAATGTATGCTCACTCCGGTAGTTTATCCTTTTATTTACAACTGAATAGCTTGTTGAGAGAAATTTATTAGTGAAAGGCTCTTACCAAGATCTGTAAAATTCTATAGTTGTTTTTGCAGAAACTTTTTCATGAGAGGCTTATGAAACTCGTTTTATGTGTAGTGAGTTCCTCAAGTGAGTACTTATACGAATTACTGCTAATGAGTTGTTCTGCATGCAATACATTTTTCCGTAAAAAATTATAGTATGATTTTTCATCATAAATGTACTGAAAGATAATCGACAACTGCGTTGCACATCACCGCATGTTTCTGAGCTCACCTACCATGAATATATAGACGTCATTCGAGGACATTTGTTTTCAGCTCGAAGTAATCTTATTTAAACCATTCATCGAAAAATCATAAAACTATTATTTCTTACTAAGTCTATTAAGATTTTCAGAAAATATAGAGAATTGTTTTGTCGAAATTGTATCGCTATCAAAAATGTTCTAGAATGATCATTTATATCTGAGACTGCTCGAGAAGTCTCTGAGATTTTATAGCACACTTATAAGTCAGAAAAAACTTTGTGAATGATTTCTTAAGAATTTCAGGTATTTTAGATAAAAAAGAACGGCTTTATAACTTTTCTAATTTCATATTTCTGAAGATCTTTTGCAGTTCTTTAGAAAACAATCCTTTTTTTTAACTGTAGAGTTTATGGATCAAAATCTTATGAATAAGTAATTGCATGATTGGTTTTCACGTTTTTAAGGAGTTGTCCGAGAACTCTAAAGAACTCCTAGAGGACTCTTGTAAGTAAAAAGCGTACAATTAAAATCCAAAACTCAAGTTTGATTGTCGTTTTCACGTACACATTCGGAAGATTTTCACATGGCTCGATAGAAAAATATGTTATCCACACAAAAAGACGTCTTTTAGAATTCTTGGATGAGTTCTGGTAGAAATACAAGCATCAAGACAAATGTTCTGAGATAAGTGCTCTATCTGTAACATGCATTTTCTCCAGTCATTTCAACCCAATCACATTGAAATTTCTTAATATCTTGATCTAATCGAATGCAAGACTATCAAAAATACTAGCCAACATTATCTAGATGTAGATTTATTTCGTTCTGTCTCCTATTTTTTTTCAAGTTTCAGAAAATTTAAGACGTTTCTAAGTGTTTTTGCCGTGATAAAGAAAGAAAAGATGATAGAGTGATAAAAATTATATATTTGTGTAATGTTTTCTAATATTTATGATAAAGTTTTACAGTCGATCAGATCAGGTCTTCAGAAATCGTAATGAAATGATATCGCCAAACGAGTTTTCATAAAGTCGAAAATTGATATACCTAGAGACACTTGCAAGAAAAATGAGAAGATGATCAAATGACTTCTCAATTCAAATAAAGATTTCGTTATGCCGATGAGTCTAAAATTTGTGAGACTTCTTTTTGAAGTAAGCATTGTTGTTCATTTGAAAACTTTCACTAATTACATTTAAGAACATATGATAATGTCACTGACAACATTGAGATATAATTCATCTTAAAATATAATAACAAAAACTTGAATTCTATCTATTCATTCAATGTGGTCTCTGTAATAGTTATAGAAAAAATTGATTTTTTTTTTTTTATGATACATATATTTCAACAAACTCTAGTCGTTCAGAATCTTTAAATATAGATCTGCTGCAATGAGTTCTGAAAGAGAGAAGTTTAACAAATAAACGATCTCGATACTGTGTCAATATTGAACGGATATAATAATTCTGATATGTTGCATATTGTACTTTTATCTTTACTTACTAGGATGTATGTACAAAGTAGAATAAGTAGCCTAAATAGCTGTGTTTTATTCATATGCTGGCTGTTAGCCTAAAAATCGTTAAAGGCACATAGTTGTAATCGGTTTTTGTTTTTCACATTCGATAAGCACTCTTGAGTGGATACATAAATATTCGCAGCCGGTACCTTATCCCACCATAGTCTGGTTTTGTTATGTATGTGAAACTTACGCGTAATAATATTTACTTCGCAGCTAAAGATTTACAAGATAAAATATCGTAACACACCAACATAGTTCAAGGAAAAAGCTACCACCTTCCACTTATTCTCTTTTGATCAACTAGTATCTGTGATGTACTCAACCTACTCAGACTACTTTACACATCGTGATAGTTGCATACAAGTCTGTGATCAAATTTCTGACTTCCTTGAAGAGTTTCGCCGTTATGTACGATACGCTGTCTAACAAAAAGTGCTGTACTGCTTCGGAGACAAAACAAATTCAACGATATATTAAATACATATTAAAAAGATATAAATAAGTGTCATTCTTGTCTAATATCCTTTCATTATGGTGGGAAATACAGTACAAGTAACAGACTCTCACACCTAAAATAGTGTATCCCTGTACTCAACTGTTTATGTACATAGTTTCTTAAAAGGCTATTCTTGCGAAAGTTTGTAAATATAAAGAAGAATTGATTAATTTTGTATTTCTATTATGATTAGGTAATGGATATGTAACGTTCAGTTTATCAGATTCACAAAATAGCACAATGCATTATTTTAAAGTTCAAGAGTTCAGAAAACCAGAATATGAAGTTTCATCAATGATTCGACCAACAATAGCACGTTATTGTCATCCAATCATTGATGAATATGTCATAGCTACTTGTCAAGGAAAATTATTTGCTGGTGGTTATTTAAATGATGCAAATGTTCAATGGACAGTACAAGCTGAAACAACAAAATTTACACCACCTAACAGATCTGACTACATATTCGGTAGAGCTAAACCGTTCTTTTGCTGGTTTGGTATTAATGATCAAACTGAAATTACATATCCAGAAAAGCATTTTCAAGTAAAATAATATTAATTTAAGCACAAAAAAGCGATTCACTCTTAGAAAAAGCAATTTCGAATTAGGTTGAAACAAATATGCACTATGATTAGATTTGATGAATTGTTAACGGTCAGTTAACAGACACAAAGTATCTTGCAAGCTGCAGATAGAAGCAGACATGTACCAGTTTCCGCACTTTTCTCAAGTACTACATGATTGAAAATGAGATAATGTGTTCTTAACAGAAATACATGTGTATGAATATTTTACTGAAAAACGCATATAGATAAAGTATTAGACAGCTAAAGACACAATTTTTCTGAGATAAACATTGTCTAGCAGTACGTGACTTTTCTAGCTATTTTTTTTGAGTATGTGTTCAGTCAGAAAGAACGCTTCCAGTCCTTGTGCATTAATTCGACGAAGAATTGTCGTTCATGCTAAATTTAATTTCCTCGTTGTT